ATCCTCAATTCTACTTAAGAGGGCGAAAATTCAGGTAAGGATATCTGTAACTCCTTCCAAAGACAGTATTTGCTCTACATGCAAATTGCATTTTATGGTCGTAAAAATATGAGGAAACCCTCAAATTTATGACAGATGATTATGATCAAGCGTTGAATTGCACTTTTACCGCAAGGTACCTCGGTGTATGCCAGTGCCTTGACTATACCCTTCTACCACTGTCGCTTGTTTCATACCACGCACATGTTTGATTTTCGAATACACTGCCTTTAATCCATCAGTGGTTAAAAAGGAAATGGAGTTCCTGTTGATCCACTTATTTGAAAGGCAAATATAATGCGTCATATTCAAAGCAGTAGTTGTGTGTGCGAATATACGACCGCAGGGTAGCTTGAATCAGGTGAGGAAAGATAAGTTCTTCCTTGTCTTTACAAATAAGCCACGAACGAGGGTCAGGGTCTTAGGAAAACATCGACCATTACACCTAGGGTACCGTAGTTTTTTGGGATGTTACTGACTGTCTTTAATTTCTGGTTATTTTATTCGTGACACACACGCTTGATTGGACTGGTCGTCCAGATGCACGTCATGAGATGAAGTCGAAGACAAAGGTCTTGCCTACACGGATGAATTTGCGAAAAGGAGAAGTGTTTCGTGGAAATGCTTTGTCTTCATTAACTTCATGCTCGCCTCCCTATCGGCGGTAGCAAGGAGCCATACGTAAGTGAAGCAAAGCATCCATTCCAATAAACCATTAGCAGCGACTTACTTAAAAGGACAACTTTAAAACGTGAATGACAGGTTGGTAAGGCATAATACGGTGAAAGTAGCTCCGATGTTTCTGAAAATTCAATAGATAAAGGTAGCACACCGTGGAATGATACCATTAGGTAGGTTTATGCGAAAAAATGCAGTTTGTCAGGATTAAGTGTAAGCTTCCAGTCAAGCAACGAATGTGGGTAAAGTAGAATTCAAAGGCGAAAGGAAGTGTGAATTAACATAAAGCAACAATCAGTAGCAGACATGTTGGGATACTTAAGCAAGCACTGGATTGGAACAGAACAGTAATTTCAGATAAATCAGAAAAAACCACTGATGAAATTGACATAGTAATAAAGCCTTTGCAAAATATATATAAATTACAACTGTCGACCAATCTACAACTTGTAGAGTTTATTTGAAATAAGAAAATCAAAACGGTTTGATTGCAGACAGAAAGCAGTCGATTGTGGATGATATGGACATTTCCTGAAGATTATTTGAAGAAGCCTAATAATTATTTGTCGAAACCAAAGCAAACCAGCTGGGATGGGGACTGTCTCTCGCATAATATCCTCATCGGGTTTATCTAATACCTCGTTTCCCCCCACATCATCAGCCAATTCTTCGCCCTCTAGAGGGTTGGACACCTCGAAGAGATTCGTCTTCAGGTTCTGCGCAGCCTCGCCTTACTCTACGATGGCGGTTAAGGCGGGGTGTAAATGTGAGGAGAAAAAGACAGCGGGCCTGTTAGTGGTCCCATCCTGTGGCAATGCAGAACTGATGGTGATTGTGTAAGGAATTCTTTGTGTAGCCTATACAAGGTCAATTGTTGTCATCTAGAATGGCCTGTACATCATTCAATTTCATTTTTTACGTGTTAGTTTAATTGCACCGCTGAGCTACTTTTTAGGGTAGTAAATGATCACCTTTGAAGCAATGTTTGCATGAGAAGGTAAAAGGGTTAACCAAACACGAGCCTACAACTTTCCTGTTGTCCACTTCGCCTTCCTACCGTAATAAGTGCGGAATACATTCTTGAGGACAGCAGTAGGACAACCAAGTGATAAGTTTCCGTGGTATTTAAGTAGGGGTGGGGCAATAATGGGAGGAGACTGAGGAAAATGAAAGGTCCGGAAATCCAAGGTGCTCGAGGTAGCATCCAATGGTTTTGCCCAGCCTTGATCAGGCTCATTCCATCTGCATGAAAGGATACCTTCGTCTCCAGCATCCTTGATATTCTCCATCGTTTTTTCACATTCGTAGAGAGTCCAGCACCTTAGAAATGTCTTTCACTTAAAGTTAGAAATGCATTGCGATGAAGTGGAATGTGCATCTAAGGAAATCTTGGTTTGAACTAGGATAGAATGCAATTTTTGTGAAGGGCGTTGATGTAGTGGGAATTTCTTGTTCACCAAAACATTAGTCAGAACAGTGACGATACAGTTAGTACAACTAAAAAAATATTTTAAAAAGCATTTTCGTCTTGAGCTATCCTTTTAACATTCATTTTTTAAACGAATTTGTTATTTCAAGCTGAAGTGGAACAAGTGATGAAATAACCGAAAGAATGCGTGTGTTTGTGCCCTTGAATTCATTAGAAAATACACCACTTAATTCTGCTTCAACTTTATTTGCTTAACTGTTTTATGATGCGCTTTCATTGACGTTGAACCGAAGGTAGAGGAGAGGCTATCCACAAGTGCTCTTGTCATCTTCTAATCAGTGGACGTCAGGAGTAACTGTCAAGGCATGCTTGGAAGAAAGAACGAATTCAATTAAACCTCTTACTTGCAAAGCTAGGCAAGAGGGTTAAGTGTAAAGTGACCTACGGAATCCTCCTTTGCATTGTCCATTTGCACCGACGTTTGGCATTTTTCCTTCTACACGTCAGTAAGTTACTGAGCGCTATTCTCAGCAGCTTAGCGCAATTGTCTCACTTTGTCTAGCCTTGCATCACAGAACACAACTGGCACTATGAGGGCCCATTAATCATTTTACTATAGCGAAATCGGATTTTCTTGGGTTGAGCCATTGTTTCCCAAAATTGAACCGATTTCTGAGGCTACAACCAAGGAGCTGGGAGTGGAACCTTGAGGTATGTATGCACAAAGGAACGCCATCTGCAATAACCCGTTCAGAGGCAAAGACTTTCCCATGGCAAGAGCGAATAAATGTTGATGTAGGAAAAGAAGGAAGGTGTGGATTGTTTCCATAACATTTCACTTTCGAAATATGAGTCCTTGGGTACGTATCGGAGGGAATGTAATATGTGAAGTGTTGTGGTTTGCCTACCTTCCTAACCAGATTCAATTCATGTGCTGGTAGAATGCTCTGTTAATGCATGAAGCTGGTGTCGATGTCATGTGAATGATCCTCGGCCAGATAGAATGCCGAATAGCAAGGCACAAAATTCATGATGTGGTCAGAAGTTGTGCAATGGACTCCTTACCCAATTCAGTTTTGGGATCAATTCCTAGGAAAGAGAATTTGTTTCGATAAGCTAAAGTTATTTTTGTAATGCTTATTTCATTTAGACTTCTAAACCGTTTATTGGTACCACCTACATGATGTTCCGTGTTTGCTGACAAAATGTGTTTGCAAGCATTTATTCAGGACACTGGTCTGTTAATCTCCTTGTCGCTTTCTCACATCTCTGAAGCGAACGAGTGCCCCATCAGATGTTGCCTCCTCACATTAACCTATCACTAACTGACATATTTGATTCAGTGACCAAAATTGATTGCAGTACAGTCGTCGCCTTTAATGACACTGTGCATACACTGGCACGTACCACGATGCAATGAGTTACAGCACTCCTTCCTTCGAATATCTCTGCCGTCTGCTTTCCTATTTTCCTCCATTTCTTCCTTCCTTCTCTCCTCCATCCCACCTCCTCTTTTCCCTTCACTCTCTCTCTCTCATTTTAGCAATATGTGCGGGCTGGATGCCATTTTTGCCATTTACGACTACCTCAGTAAGCGAGTGAATGAAAGATTCAGCATTGTCCTATCTCTACAATCACGTGGTCAACCCAAGGAGAGATTCCAAATCTGATTTAATGAGGAGGGTTTTGCAAAAGTGCATAAAATAGTGATGAGATACCAACGCGTAGTCTTCTGAGTTAGATTGGTGAAATTTTATGCAAAAAATACCTTGTAACATTTCCAACATTACTGGAACGTGAGATATTGTAGAGCAGACCAAATCAGGTATTTTGTATAATGCACTGCTCTATGTGGAGTGCATTGGTATGGGATCAGGCAAGAGCAAATGATCTTTGAGGAAGACGAGGAGGATGAGATGGACGTGGCAAGCGTTGGGACCTTCTACTTCCATGACGAGGACCACAGTTGATCCTTCTCCAGCGGCTACGCAATGCAGCTGGCATGAGGCCACCCTCTCTTCCATCGCCCTCATCAGGCCCATCCAGCTCCTCATTCTCGTCCACATTCACAGCCACTTCATCATTCATCAGATGGAGGGGCACCCCGGAAAGGTCCGTCTCTAGCTTTGGCAGAGCGCCACCATCTGTCACGATGTTGGTAAGGACTGGGTGTGAGGTGAATGAGAGGAGAAGAAAAAGACAGACAAGAGTCAGAGGTGATGACATCCCGAGTGAATGTAGAACTGATAATGACTGTGAGAGGAGTTTCTTGCGTAAACTCTGTAAGGTTATTTATGGGCGACTCAAGTGGTCTGTTTATCGCTCAAACTCAGTGTTTGCATTTGAACGTGGGTGACTCCAGAGAATCGGCTCATAATTCCACCAATTCTGTAAGCCTGTGAAGAGACTGAAATACACCGTTCTTTGAACTGGCTAATCTGTTTTGTTTGTCCGAAGATGTAAACGGCAAATTTGTAGCCTAATGTGTGGCTAATATTTTCACAATTATTCGCCTGTTTTGCATTGGGCCACTTTGGGACAACTTAAATGCTTCGAAATGCTGAAACAGGTAGTCCAGACAACATCTGAGGAGCGCGTGGTTGCACTGGTGCGCTGCCCGTTAACATGGTGTCCTATTATCAAATCATTCGCGGCGTCAAGGTTGTTTGCAAAGGACATGCTGGAAATCCTTGCTTACGAGCTAGTGTTAATAATTTAACGGCGATGAATTGTGCCCGAACAACTGGGATGTTTCCCCAGTATGCAGCGAATCACGAAAAATTTGTAACCAGAAATGTGTGAATTACATAAACAGGGAATTTAGTGCTTTCCAATGCTCTCTGACATGGGTGTTTGTCTTACTCTCCATCTGTGATCACAAGGCACTATGTGCTCATGAATCTGATGCCTGAGGATATTGCTGCAAGTGTACAATGTCAGTTAATAGAAAGCAGATTAAATCGCTGCCACAGACTACGAAATGAGTAGAAACCCTGTATGCAGTGGTAACAAACTGAAGTAGACGACCAAAAAGACGGTTATAAGGGCAGTTTTGTTCTGCCATTTCTCATTTGTACACGAAACTTGCTGCCATCGTGGTCATTCAGCAAACAAATAAGCTGCATCATTGAACCATTTGAATTAACAGGCAAGCACTGTATTTGTACTCTAAGCAGGCATCTGTACTAAAGCCCGTAGGGAGTGTGCAAAGGATTGCCTACACATTTACCACCAACCTTGCATCCACACAGGTTGCGACCACCACCGACTCTGGTCTGTCTTTCTTCTCCTCAGATTCACCTCACTTCCCAACTCTACCACTATCGTGATGGATGGTGAGGCAGCACGCAACAAAGGATGGACTGCTTTGAGGTGTCCGACCCTCTGGAGAGAAAAGAAGAGGCCAAGTTTGTGGGGAACAACGAGGCGTTTGATGAGCCCGATGAAAGTGAAGGGAGAGAGCGTACTCTCATGCTAACTGAGCCTTATCGTTTCCGACGGCGAATTAGTAGGCTTCCTTGATGGGGTTTTGGGAAACATAGACGTCTTCCATGCTCGGCTCCTGCTCCTATGCAATCAAGTCACTCTAATTGACTTTTATGAAGTAACCTTTGCTATATCATTTACGATGGCTTCAATTAGTAGAAACTGTGGCTTATTTTTTGGCCAGTTGTCAGACGGAAGTCGTTGCGAAGGCCGTGTCACCATAGCAATTTCCTCAGCGACCATATTTGTAGTTAACTGAAACTACAATACTAATCCAAACCATTGCTTGCTTAATCTCCCACCATGTCTACTGCTTGTTTCACCTTGTTAATCCACACTTCCCTTTGAATTCGGGGTTGAGTTCTGTCCATAGTAGTGGTGATGCTCAGTGAAGATAGCGCCTGATCCTCAAAAAATGCACATGTTGCATAAACATACCAGATGGTAGCATTCCATTCAGTTCTACTTTTACTTGTTTCAGAAAGGTGACAAGTTCCTTCTTTGTAATTTTAGTCCTTTGGACAAGCGTTTGATCCTCTGTAAATATTCATCTCATGATCAGCCTGCTCCTGCCCTCCTATCTCCCTCCCTCCTGCCTCCTGTTACTCCTTCCCTCCCTCTCACTCCTATTCTGTGCAAGGGTACACAGTGAAGCAACTTCCATTTAAGTGAAAGGTTATGTATTGCTCTGTCTCTGCAACCATGCAGTCATACCATGATGAAATTTACAGTCAGATTTATTGAGGAGGGTTTTCAAGGGGAAAAGAAGAAGCAACAAGCACTCAGTCAATTTGCCAAAGTGGTGAGTGGGACACTAACTTCCAGTCCTGTGAACTGGATTATTGTAGGCTTATGCATAGTGGCAGTAACAGCATTACTGAAAAGGGAGATGGGGCATAGTAGATCAGTTGGGGATATATCGTAAATTGTGCTGGCATAGAATTAAGCACGAATAAGTGGTCTACGAGGAAGAGGAATGATGGCTGGACGCGAGTAGCATTGAAACTTTCCAGACCTACGATGAAATTCACACCACTTCCTCCTAGGAATATACAACCCAGCTGGCATGAGGCCATCCTCTCTCCCATCACCTCCATCGGGTCCATCCAACGCCTCAGTCTCTTCCACATCCTCCGCCACTACTTCATCCTCCAGAGGGTTGGGCATGTTGGAGAGGTCCGTCTTTAGCTTTGGCGCGACCCTACAACCCATCACAATAGCGGTAGAGATGGGGTGTGAGGTGAATGCGAGGAGAAGAAAAAGACAGAGCAGAGTCGGTAATGATCGCATACTGTGTGTGGATATGTGAGGAATGCCTTGCGTACCCCACACGGGGTTATTTATAGGCGACTCGAATGGTCTGTTTATCGTTCAAACGCAATGTTTACATTGGAACGTGGGCGGTTGCAGAGTGTCAGTCTACCCTTCTACCACTTAGCTAATCCTGCGATTAAACTGTAGCACACTACACTTTAAGCTTCGGCAACATGTTTAGACTACACCTTGATAACTAGTGTTTATTCTTCTGAAATAATATTGCATGTCACATTGCATTCTGCAACCTCTAATGAAACATTCCAAATGGTTTTTTCTATTTCCAATGTGATGTGTACAAGTGAAATCATGGACGAATATTAAGATAATTAAAATCGAATTGATCTCGGTCATTTTAAAAGGGTTCATTTCTAGTTGGTGTACTGAAATCCCCTTGTGGTGTTTTGATTATTCCTGAAGACGTGTGATTTTGGATGAGGCTCTACTGGCAATTACGGAAGGTGTGTTTTGAGCTTTAGAAGAATTGACACCTACGGACCGAGATAGGAGGCGCAAGTGCTGAGGATGGATCGCTCATGTATCCAAACAAGCGACTCAAGTGAGGACACTGTTCTGCAACATCTTGCCGTGAGTTGGTTATGTCTTACAACCTCGTCTCTCATCACGATTTCTGTGATACCCGACCCTTTTTCGTGTAGTTCAGCTACTAGTTGTTGCTACTGTGTCATTCCATGCTGGCCATCTTAATATTCCCAAATCACAACTCACTCGCAAGATTTCAACCTATTTACTTGTACAAGGGAACTGGGGCCAACTCGCATTGCATCCGATAGACGTGACAGTCAGAAGGACTGACATGCAGCTTCGGGGATGGCATTGTGATGGGACTCTATCAGTAGCAACATTTGCCATCAAAGCTTTAAATATCACTAAATGGACTGTGCTTGGATCTTTAAAGGCGGCACCTTATTCCCTTAATGGCAATGGAGTTTAGCGTTTCGGCGTCATCTACAAACTGTGTAAAGTGAAATGAATGAGGATTTCTAGCCGATGTTGTGTTCGGGATGGTAATGCTTGATCTAGAGTGAATAAGAAGTGGGAGCGATTGACACCAGTCTGTTCTAATTCGCCTAAATTTACTTTAGATCCAGCCTGACTTCGAGAGTGTGATGTGCCGGCACTCGACTACTGACATGAGTGAACTCATCACAGTTGGTGATGGAATGAGCGAAGCGATCTTAGTAAGCATGGACTGGATGATTCCTTACCAAACTGTGTCAACAAAGCTGTCCTCCAAACTTGCCTACTGGATGTCGCCAAGTAGCATGACAACCCCGCAACTGAGTCTTCACAGCTGACACCAATTTTTCACCAAGTCGATCATTTCTACCAACGTAAAATATGGCCGTTAGTGACTAAAGATTTTGATATTGCATCATTTCGTCTTATCCCATCATCATTTATATACAAGGTTATGCAAGGAGTGGCAGTGGATTTTGCAAACATTCAAAAGTGGAGCTGTCTTCCTTTCAATTTGGTGAACACTTCTGTGCCTGGCATCGCGCCTCTGGCATCTCATATTCATCCACTGTCAGGAGCATGATAAAAGTGACCTACCTGAGGGTTTATAAGTGGTTAAATGTGGAGGAGTAGGAGTTTCGTGCATTAGAATCCCAACCCTGTAGCGGAGGCCGATTTCCATGAAGGTTTGATGCCCTCGTCGTCAATCATCGTAAGCCCCCTATAGCACATGCATCCTCCTTGATCTACTTGTTGTTATCACCCTAGTTAGAATATACTCATTTTTTTCACGGCAAGTGAGATTAGAAGTGCAATTGTGCTCCAGCCCAAACGGGGATTTTATTTGTACACATTAAGCTAGCACACTTACAAGTTCAAAGTGACATTTATTTTGCCCATCAAATCGAAACAACTTGATGGCGGATTTCTCGAACCACTCTGTTGGAGTGCTGGTCCAAGTCAAAGAGTAACAAACAATAACCAGTGCCAATTGAAATCACCTTACTTCATCGTGGTGTTAACTGCCTTCCTAGTGCATTCGACCATTCATA